CCAATCCTCTCCAATATGAACCCTCCGGCGCCGTTACTCCGGCCCTCAACCGAACAATTTAGCTCTCGCTGTAAAAAAATACATTAATATGTTATTAGATATAAGCCTCATAAAACATGTTAGTATTTTAGTGATAATGCACACATTTTTATAACGAACTAGCTACTTTGTGCCAATTTAAAAACAAATGGCTTCACTATAAATAGGGTATTAAATAATGAATAACTTAATGAATTGCTTACTTCACAGCCGTTGGGATCGGCACAGCCGTAGAGATTAAAATAGGCGAGAATGCACTTAATGTGATACTCGACATCACTGCCCGACACCCGATACGCGTCCCATATCTCGTCGACCACGTGCTCATTATCCCCACCTGACATCATGCTGGCAAAGTAATCAGCTAGGGCGACTACAGCCGGGTCACTCGGATCCATCGGGCTGTACTGGCCCTGAGCCTGAGTCCCGTAGGCCAGGGCTACGACTAGACACCAGACAATCCACACCCTATTTCCGGTCAACATATCTCTCGGCACTTGTCGTATGACTTATACGACTGGTTCTTGAGATGTGGTTTTGATGTGATATTTGTGGCGAGTCTTCTCCTCTCAGTCTTCTCTCACTTTCTCTAAATGTTATAAAAATATATAAATTTTGTGTTTATTTATATATATGTTTGGTATTGAAAATTGTTTTTGTAAGAAAAATAAAAGCTTTTTATTTGGGGAAAACTATTTTTAGTTGTGATTTATATTAATAAAACACACGACTGATTGGCAAATCACTCGACCTTTAAATAATTTAAAACAATTTTTATTATTTTTTATTATTTCGCATATATTTGATGCGATGAGCGGCTGTTAGTTGTGTTAAATTTATTGTATTTTTATGAAATTATAATTATATTTACTATATATTTCACAACACATTTAACTCGGATTATAATTATTGTTGTTATAAAACTTTGTAAGACTTTTATTATATTAGTTTTTATACAACTATTTTAATATGACATTCAATGAAATACACAAACACTATGTTTAGCTATTTTTGATGTCTTGGAAAACACTATTATTTATAACTATTATTTAAAATATCAATTCAAATACTTTACGCCTATTGAGCAAAAACAAAAGCCACTTAAATATTGTTAAATAATTGTTTTATTAATGGGAAAACACATCACTTGAAAACAGGGTAAATATTTTATATGTTGCTTGAATATTCATAGAAAAAATACCAAGTTTTTATATTGTTTTAAAAATATCAAGATTTTATTACTTGAAAATCCAATTCCCAAAAGGAAATCCACTCAATATTTCATTCACTTTACATTCAAAACACAAACAATTTAACTAAAAACACAGAATATATTTACAAATACTTTTATAGCATTTATAAATGTGCTTATTATACAATACATGGTACTTTAAGCTACTATTAGGTTATTGTACTCATTATATGTGTATGTGCGGTATCAAATGTATAATGTATTTCACCGTATAGTGAATATTTTGTCCACTGTTCACTATGCACGGGGAAGTGTACTGTATATATTTATGAAATACCCCAGTATAAATTTTTATAACACTTAAACATGTGTCTCTCGCTTGACATGTGTTTTGTTTATTATATAATCGAGACATAAATAAAGGGGAAAATATTACTTTCAATATTGAAATTAAAAAATCATTTATTAGTTTAATTGATAATTTAAACAATTACAATAATAATATAAACATGGTAATTTAGAAAACATCTGGTTTTTTTGTCACACATTTGACATACACTATATATTAGACTATAAGTGGGGGTAAACCAAACAATTCGGGTCTGAAATTGTTCATAGATTTGATGACAAGTGTCGCCGATTGGGACACCTCTTGGAGGTTAAGTCTGGGGTCGACCACCAAAACGCATGGCATACCGGCGCCCACCGCAGCCCTCACTCCCACCTCATTGTCCTCGAAGACCAAGACGTTGGTCGGGGAGCGGGGCTTAGGGTCGGCGAACCGGTCGTACGCCACCCGATATATATGTGGGTCGGGTTTGTTGGCGATCTGTTCGCTCTTCTCGCCGGACAGTACGGCGTGCGAGAAGTGGTCAAAGAAGTGGTCAAAGCGCTCACGATTTCCATCGTACGAGTGCCGGTCATTACTCGACGCGATGGCCATCGGTATACCATTGGTGGCCAAATGCCCGACCACTCGCTCCACACCCGGCATCAGTTTTAGGCCATTGGTGTTGACGTTGTCAATGCAATCGCGGATCAGTTCAGTGATGAATTGCTGGTAACTGTAGGACTCATCTTCAAAGTGTATGTCATTGTATAGCTGTTGCGTCCGCTCTTTGAACGGGTGTCCCAATAGTCTCTGTTT